AACCAACTAAGCCACGGCGCCTGCGATCAACATGTATGTTTTGAGTCTGCTAATTATAAATAAAACGAATTGCTCCAGAAATAATTCAAAAGACGGTTTCTGAAATTTTTTCAAAATTTGCAGTCATAAACTATACTCTCCCTTCTAAGTTGTTTCGTATTCCACGCTTAGCATTAGGAACAATGTTTTTCTAAATTCAATGACATTAGTTAACGAACCACGACCGATTTGTATGAATACAAAGTTTAAAGTTCTTTACTAAGGCACCCACGAGATTCGAACTCGCGAATTTCTGTTTACTAGACAATCTCTTTAACCAACTAAGCCACGGCCTCGCGTCATACATGCATGTTTTGTGTCTGCTAATCATAAATAAGGAGAAATTGCACCTAAAATATATCAAATGAAGGAAAATGAACTTTACTAAAAATACATAAAAACTATCCTCGCCTTTCTAAGTTTTTCTCAAAACAATAAATGTCATGAGCAAATAAAGGCAACGAGATTCGAACTCGTTTCCTGTTTAAGACAGACTTTAACCAACTAAGCCACGGCGCCTTTGTGAGTCTGCTAATCATAAATAAAACGAATTGCTCAAAATAAACAAAAGATGGTTTTTGTATAAAATTTTCTCAAAACTTGCAAATGAACTATATTTCTTTATTTCGTATCAATACAATGTTTTTCTAAATTCTTTACAATACAAAATTTAAAGTTCTTTTAAGAAGGCACCGACGAGATTCGAACTCGTGATCTCCTGTTTACTAGACAGGCGCTTTAACCAACTAAGCCACGGCGCCTGCGAACTATATATGTTTAGGAATCTGCTAATCATAAATAAAGAGAATTGCTCCGAAAATAAATCAAAAGATGGTTTTGAACTTTTCTCAAAACTTGTATTGATAAACTATACCCTCCCTTCTAAGTTATTTCGTATTCAAAGCCTAGCATTAGAAACAATGTTTTTCTAAATACAATGACATGAGTGAAAGAACCACCACTTTTGTAACAATACAAAATTTAAAGTTCTTTAAGAAGGCACCGACGAGATTCGAACTCGTGATCTCCTGTTTACTAGACAGGCGCTTTAACCAACTAAGCCACGGCGCCTGCGAACTACATATATGTTAGGAATCTGCTAATCATAAATAAAGAGAATTGCTCCGAAAATAAATCAAAAGATGATGGCTGAACTTTTCTCAAAACTATACCCTCCCTTCTAAGTTATTTCGTAGTGCAAGCCTAGCATTAGAAATAATGTTTTTCTAAATACAATGACATGAGTGAACGAACCACAACTGATTTGTAACAATACAAAATTTAAAGCTATTTAAGAAGGCACCGACGAGATTCGAACTCGTGATCTCCTGTTTACTAGACAGGCGCTTTAACCAACTAAGCCACGGCGCCAACGAACTTTGTTCATGTTTTGCGTCAGATAATCTGAAATAAAGAGAATTGCTCGGAAAATATAATTCAAAAGAAATATTCCGAATTTTTCTCAAAAATTGCTTAGAAAAACTATCTTCTCCTTTCTAAGTTGTATCGTATTGCACGATAAGTATTGGAAAAAGTGTTCTTTTGAATACAATGGTATTTGCAAACGAAACACCACTAATTTGTGTCAATACTAAAATTAAAGCTCTTTAAGGAAAGGATGAGATTCAAACTCATGATTTCCTGTGTACTTGACACGCGTCTTAACCAACTAAGACACGGCGCCTGCGATCAACATGCATGTTGTGAGTCTGCTAATTATAAATAAAAAGAATTGCTCCAAAAATAATTCAAAAGAGGGTTTTAGAACTTTTCTGAAAAATTGCATTGATAAAGTGTCCTCTCTCTTCTAAATTTTTTTACTGCAAGCTTAGCATTCGAAACAAAGTTTTTTTAATTCAAAGGCATTAGTTAACGAATCACGACAGATTTCTATCAATACAAAATTTAAAGTTCTTTACTAAGGCACCGACGAGATTCGAACTCGTGATCTCCTGTTTACTAGACAGGCGCTTTAACCAACTAAGCCACGGCGCCTGCGATCAACATGTATGTTTTGAGTCTGCTAATTATAAATAAAACGAATTGCTCCAGAAATAATTCAAAAGACGGTTTCTGAAATTTTTTCAAAATTTGCAGTCATAAACTATACTCTCCCTTCTAAGTTGTTTCGTATTCCACGCTTAGCATTAGGAACAATGTTTTTCTAAATTCAATGACATTAGTTAACGAACCACGACCGATTTGTATGAATACAAAGTTTAAAGTTCTTTACTAAGGCACCCACGAGATTCGAACTCGCGAATTTCTGTTTACTAGACAATCTCTTTAACCGACTAAGCCACGGCCTCGCGTCATACATGCATGTTTTGTGTCTGCTAATCATAAATAAGGAGAATTGCACCTAAAATATATCAAATGAAGGAAAATGAACTTTACTAAAAAATACATTAAAAAACTATCCTCGCCTTTCTAAGTTTTTCCGTATTAAACGACTAGCATTGGACAAAAAGGTTTTTGTATAAAATGTCATGAGCAAATTAACAATTACTTATCCGTATCAATACAAAATTTAAAGTTCTTTACTAAGGCACCGACGAGATTCGAACTCGTGATCTCCTGTTTACTAGACAGGCGCTTTAACCAACTAAGCCACGGCGCCTGCGAACTACATATATGTTAGGAATCTGCTAATCATAAATAAAGAGAATTGCTCCGAAAATAAATCAAAAGATGGTTGCTGAACTTTTCTCAAAACTTGTATTGATAAACTATACCCTCCCTTCTAAGTTATTTCGTAGTGCAAGCCTAGCATTAGAAACAATGTTTTTCTAAATACAATGACATGAGTGAAAGAACCACCACTGATTTGTAACAATACAAAATTTAAAGCTATTTAAGAAGGCACCGACGAGATTCGAACTCGTGATCTCCTGTTTACTAGACAGGCGCTTTAACCAACTACACGGCGCCTGCGAACTACATATATGTTAGGAATCTGCTAATCATAAATAAAGAGAATTGCTCCGAAAATAAATCAAAAGATGGTGCTGAACTTTTCTCAAAACTATACCCTCCTTCTAAGTTATTTCGTAGTGCAAGCCTAGCATTAGAAACAATGTTTTTCTAAATACAATGACATGAGTGAACGAACCACCACTGATTTGTAACAATACAAAATTTAAAGCTATTTAAGAAGGCACCGACGAGATTCGAACTCGTGATCTCCTGTTTACTAGACAGGCGCTTTAACCAACTAAGCCACGGCGCCAACGAACTTTGTTCATGTTTTGCGTCAGATAATCTGAAATAAAGAGAATTGCTCGGAAAATATAATTCAAAAGAAATATTCCGAATTTTCTCAAAAATTGCTTAGAAAAACTATCTTCTCCTTTCTAAGTTGTATCGTATTGCACGATAAGTATTGGAAAAAGTGTTCTTTTGAATACAATGGTATTTGCAAACGAAACACCACTAATTTGTGTCAATACTAAAATTAAAGCTCTTTAAGGAAAGGATGAGATTCAAACTCATGATTTCCTGTGTACTTGACACGCGTCTTAACCAACTAAGACACGGCGCCTGCGATCAACATGCATGTTGTGAGTCTGCTAATTATAAATAAAAAGAATTGCTCCAAAAATAATTCAAAAGAGGGTTTTAGAACTTTTCTGAAAAATTGCATTGATAAAGTGTCCTCTCTCTTCTAAATTTTTTCGTACTGCAAGCTTAGCATTCGAAACAAAGTTTTTTTTTAAATTCAAAGGCATTAGTTAACGAATCACGACAGATTTCTATCAATACAAAATTTAAAGTTCTTTACTAAGGCACCGACGAGATTCGATCTCGTGATCTCCTGTTTACTAGACAGGCGCTTTAACCAACTAAGCCACGGCGCCTGCGATCAACATGTATGTTTTGAGTCTGCTAATTATAAATAAAACGAATTGCTCCAGAAATAATTCAAAAGACGGTTTCTGAAATTTTTTTTAAAATTTGCAATAAACTATACTCTCCCTTCTAAGTTGTTTCGTATTCCACGCTTAGCATTAGGAACAATGTTTTTCTAAATTCAATGACATTAGTTAACGAACCACGACCGATTTGTATGAATACAAAGTTTAAAGTTCTTTACTAAGGCACCCACGAGATTCGAACTCGCGAATTTCTGTTTACTAGACAATCGCTTAGCATTAGCGTCATACATGCATGTGTTTTTCATAAATAAGGAAATGCACAAAATATATCAAATGAAGGAAAATAACTTTACTAAAAATACATTAAAAAACTAACCACGAGCATTGATTTTTGTATAAAATGTCATGAGCAAATGAATACTTATCCGTATCAATACAAAATTTAAAGTTCTTTACTAAGGCACCGACGAGATTCGAACTCGTGATCTCCTGTTTACTAAGACAGGCGCTTTAACCAACTAAGCCACGGCGCCTGCGAACTACATATATGTTAGGAATCTGCTAATCATAAATAAAGAGAATTGCTCCGAAAATAAATCAAAAGATGGTTGCTGAACTTTTCTCAAAACTTGTATTGATAAACTATACCCTCCCTTCTAAGTTATTTCGTAGTGCAAGCCTAGCATTAGAAACAATGTTTTTCTAAATACAATGACATGAGTGAAAGAACCACCACTGATTTGTAACAATACAAAATTTAAAGCTATTTAAGAAGGCACCGACGAGATTCGAACTCGTGATCTCCTGTTTACTAGACAGGCGCTTTAACCAACTAAGCCACGGCGCCTGCGAACTACATATATGTTATGAATCTGCTAATCATAAATAAAGAGAATTGCTCCGAAAATAATTCAAAAGAAGGTTTCTGAACTTTTATCAAAAATTGTATTGAAAACTATACCCTCCCTTCTAAGTTATTTCGTAGTGCAAGCCTAGCATTAGAAACAATGTTTTTCTAAATACAATGACATGAGTGAAAGAACCACCACTGATTTGTAACAATACAAAATTTAAAGCTATTTAAGAAGGCACCGACGAGATTCGAACTCGTGATCTCCTGTTTACTAAACAGGCGCTTTAACCAACTAAGCCACGGCGCCTGCGATCAACATGTATGTTGTGAGTCTGCTAATTATAAATAAAACGAATTGCTCCAGAAATAATTCAAAAGACGGTTTCTGAAATTTTTTCAAAATTTGCAGTCATAAACTATACTCTCCCTTCTAAGTTGTTTCGTATTCCACGCTTAGCATTAGGAACAATGTTTTTCTAAATTCAATGACATTAGTTAACGAACCACGACCGATTTGTATGAATACAAAGTTTAAAGTTCTTTACTAAGGCACCGAGATTCGAACTCGCGAATTTCTGTTTACTAGAGCATCTCTTTAACCAACTAAGCCACGGCGCCTGCGAACTACATATATGTTGCTAATCATAAATAAAGAGAATTGCTCCGAAAATAAATCAAAAAGATGGTTGCTGAACTTTTCTCAAAAACTTGTATTGATAAACTATACCCTCCCTTCTAAGTTATTTCGTAGTGCAAGCCTAGCATTAGAAACAATGTTTTTCTAAATACAATGACATGAGTGAAAGAACCACCACTGATTTGTATTAATAAAAAATTTAAAGTTCTTTACTAAGGCACCGACGAGATTCGAACTCGTGATCTCCTGTTTACTAGACAGGCGCTTTAACCAACTAAGCCACGGCGCCTGCGAACTACATAAATGTTAGCTGCCAATCATAAATAAAGAGAATTGCTCCGAAAATAAATCAAAAGATGGTTGCTGAACTTTTCAAAACTATACCCTCCCTTCTAAGTTATTTCGTAGTGCAAGCCTAGCATTAGAAACAATGTTTTTCTAAATACAATGACATGAGTGAACGAACCACCACTGATTTGTAACAATACAAAATTTAAAGCTATTTAAGAAGGCACCGACGAGATTCGAACTCGTGATCTCCTGTTTACTAGACAGGCGCTTTAACCAACTAAGCTACGGCGCCATCGAACTTTGTTCATGTTTTGCGTCAGATAATCTTAAAGAGAATTGCTCGGACAATATAATTCAAAAGAAATATTCCGAATTTTTTCAAAAAATTGCTTAGAAAACTATCTTTTCCTTTCTAAGTTGTATCGTATTGCATGATAATTATTGGAAAAAGTGTTCTTTGAATACAATGGTATTTGCAAACGAAACACCACTAATTTGTGTCAATACTAAAATTAAAGCTCTTTAAGGAAAGGATGAGATTCAAACTCATGATTTCCCTGTGTACTTGACAGTAGTATATATTGTTGGTATCTGGACTAAACACCTATCGAAAATTTTTTGCTAGTAGCTGGATTAAAAATCAATTGATTTCAAACTATATACTGTTGGTATCTCGACTAAAAACACCTATCGAA